TTGGATCCGCTAGTGGCAGTTCGGGAAGATCCCCTTAGAAACTGTTGAGGAATCGGACAAGATGGGAGGTTTCCAGCTAATTGAGGGAGAACTTAGGCCGTCGTCGGGCGGGATTCGAAGGCGATTGGGAGGAGTTGCCTCTGTGTAGTAAGGTGTGATGGCGGCCGCGGCACGTAAAGCAACTATGAGTGCTCTCACAATCACGCAGCTGGTGCCCTCCTGCGAAGCAGTTTAGTCACAGCTGCTTCCTCTTTATGTATGCCGAACGCTCGTCGACCGTCATCTGGAGGAACCGTGCACATGTGCGGACAGGATGGTTTTCCTTCTTACAAAGGTCACATCCTTTTGGCTTGGGTGCTACCCTTGTCTCGTAAGAATTTATTCTTCGAGGCGCTGCAGTGGGGGCGGATGTTTTTGGCAGAGATTGACTCGAGCCTGACGGCCGTACGTCGTCTATGGCTTCTAAGGTCCAGTGACGCTCCGTAAGGAAGGCGTTCAGTTCCTGCCACGTCTGAATCTCTGCCTTGTTGTGCAGGGACTGTTCCCACAAGGATAGTGTGAGCTTAGGAAGTTTGGAGGAGCACATGTACACTAAAAGGCAATCCCAATTTTCGGTTTCAATTCCGGACATTTCTAAAGCCGTGAGGCAACCCTGGATGGTGCGTTGAAGTTCACGGATAGCTGCTCCAGATTCCTGATTAACGGACTGCACATTGAAAAGTATTTTTAATTGGCTATTTACTAACAGCCGCTCGTTTTCAAAACGCTCAGTTAGGTTAGCCCAAGCTGAGCGAAAGCCGTCGTTAGTAAGGGGGAAGTTCGACACTATCGTGTGTGCATCGCCGCTTGTTTTGGCATTTAGGTGAAACAACTTTTCGACTGGCGTCAGCCTTGGATTGTTTGTATAAATGGACGTAAACAAATCCCTAAAGGTCGGCCACTGCAGATAATCTCCGGTGAAAACTTCGGTATCGCACGGAGGCAGCCGACATCCAGAGGAAATGTAAGTCTGGGTAGGAACAGCTTGAACTTGGGGAGCCTGGGCTATCAAATCCGCGATCTGAGCCCCACATCTCTCGTAAACGAAATAGCAGTAGCCGTATTTGGCCTTGAGAACTGGCAAACTATCAGCTGCACTGTCTCCGGCTTCTGCTATGCACCCGGTGCATTCATCGTATTCTGCCTTGATGCGGTCCCATAACGCGCGTATTTCTTCGCGGCGGATGTTCAGCATGGACAGAGTAGGAGGGATCGGCGAAGGAGTGTTTGTTCTGGATTCAAACTCAGTCAGCCGATCTGAGACCTTAATAAATTTGCTTAGAGCGATTTGGGAAGGTGTTAGTGCCATTTTGACGACCCTTTTTCGGTTAGTTCGGGTGTGGGCGGATCTACGGATATGCCTGGGACTAGGGCAGGTGAAATAGGCAACTTGTTGTTATCACTTCCAACTGACATTTAAGAGAAATGACCTTTTGTTTTGGGTCAGAATCTACTCGCCTTTGTTTATGTCGGATAAACAGGAAACCTGGCCCACAACAGTGGAACGAAGTGTTGACAAAAAAAAAGTAGTGGATCGGAGAGATAGAAATTGGAAGCAAGTACCGACCTAGTTACTTTGCGGAATTAAACCCAATGATACGGATTAGGCATGGTGAGTGATGAGTTCGTATATCACCCGTGGAGAAATAATACTATAATATTTAACTTTTTTGGTATATGTATATTGTAATTGGGGTCAAGATTGGTATACTTTTGTTTTTTAGTGCTGGTATTTTTTGCGTTTGAAATAAATTGAGGGGCAAAAATATTAAATATGTGTTAATCTGTAGTCCCCGGTGAAGTAATTCTAATATTTCGCCTTTATTTAAACTTCTGAATGAAGAAAAAATACCAAGTTATGCCAATAAGTTGTTGGCCGGAGGATGCGATCGGTTGATTATTTAATATTGGAGTGTTGCTTTAATTTGATTTAATATTCCGAGGGAAAAATACTAAAAATATACCAAAAAAAAATTGGTGGACGGAGCATGCTATGCATGCTGGTATTATTTTCCCTCGATAAATAAATTTTACGGAGTAGATATCAAATACCGAAAAAAATACTAAACAGTTTGACGGTGGTAAATAAAACACAATGACCAAAAAGATTTTCACGTCGGTTGGTGTAATTTTTATTTTATTATTTTTAACCGGATGACCGACGGAAAACTTTAATTAGTCGGAGCGGGATGGTGGAGGTGAAATTATACGTGAATGTACGTAGATATTTGTGTATGTAGATTTGGATAAGTATGTAGATATTTGTGTGTGTAGATTTGGATATGTACATATGTATATATTTGTATATGTAGATTTGGATATGTATGTAGATATTTGTATGTATGATATGTGTGCATGTATGTAATGTTCGCAGGTTTCAAATTTATTAAATAATTATTGCCGGCGGGATATGTGTTGTGGTGGACGTTTTCGATTTATTGTATGTGGACTGTATTTGGAAAAACGATAAAATATGTGCAAGTATTTTAGCGGCTGCGAATATACAGTGAGAAAATCTTGGAAAGTTTTGGGGGCCTGAATTGGCAGAACACTGGAAATTAAAAATTTCTCACTGTATGCTTAACTTATATTTGCAAAATATTTTTTCTAAGCTTGGAATTTTTTTCCTCGATTTTATATATGTGAATGTAAGTATGGATGAGCGGCCAAATGCAATTAAAAAAGGAGTCGGAAAAATTGGCAATATGGCCGCACGTAGCAAAAGGAAAATCGAAGAAAAAAATGGCGAAGTAATTTATTAATTGCCGTTGTCGGATTTAATCGGACTTGGATTTTGGACAAATCGTACATTAAGTCAAACGAATTATATTTTCGAGTGGCTGACTGCAGACCGGCAATTAATAAGACGAAAAGCTTTACTTATCTTATCGGCTCGAATGGATCAAAATGTACGCCGGGGGGTAGCGGGGTACCGGTGGCGCTGGTGGAATGGCGTGGGAGGCGACGGCGGGAAACTGGCGGCGTCGGCGGTCTGCTGCGCTGGGCTTCGGCGGTTTGCTGGTGGTGCAGTTTGCTGCTGGTGCGGCGGAAAGCGTCTAGGCTGTAGGGGAGAAAATTACTCGAAACGCGAAGTGCCCCTTGACCGAAAAGTAATACGTACAAAGTTCACTTTGTAAAATAGGCGGGGAAACGACCGCGGTTTATTCGATATGACTGCCAAAATTGAACTACTTAAGTCTAAGCTCCGCTCCGCGCTCCAAAGCGCAGCGGAGACTTCACGGAGGGGAGCTGGGAACAGCGCAAGAGAGCGGGAGCGCGAGAGAGCGGTGCAGCTGGATTCGCCGGACAGTGGGCCTGAACACTAGATTAGACTGGAGTGGGTTTTCCGTCCCAGATCGAAGGGCATCGGCTTATGAGAAGCCCTTCTGGGTAATTAGTTGACCAAAAGAGGATCTTGCAGCCGCGCCGAAAAATACTTCCGGCGTCGTACGCGAGTAGGTGTACGCATTTTGGGTATTCCGGTGACGCGTTGCTGTCACTTTTCGCATGCGGTTCTTCATCTCCTTGTAGATTAGACAGCCCCTGTAGTTTGCCGTGTTGTTACCTTGGCAGTTAACGCATTTTTTCTTCTTTCTTTGTTGGCAGGGCAGTTAGCAGAATTGTGGAAGTCTCCACAAGCTACACAGACTTTTTGAAGTGAACAGTATGCCGTGGTGTATCCATACTCCTGACAATTTGTGAATTGCCCTGGGCCATTCCTTTTGTGTGGCTCTTCCACGTTAATTCTTCGGTGCAATAAGTATCGCAGGTTATAAATCGGGTGCACTTCACTTTTCTTCAAGACTCTGCTGTCTGGGCGTTCAAGATTTTCTCCCTAATGTAAATTGGTGGGGGCTTAGGTTTCGGTTGGGTCTCCAGAGCCTGTTCTGGTTCATTTTCTGCTAGAAGCGCAAATCTATTGCTGTTGGATCTTCCGGGTAATTTATTTTTTATTTGGACACGGTTTATTTTTGACCTGTTACCTACCGCAGTATTCTGCGGCTTACGCTTGATATGGATGTACCGATCTAGTCCGGTCTGTATGGCCGGACCCGCTTGCTGAATTTTGTTTTGGTTTTGATTTGTTGTCGTGGTTTTTGTTGACGTTGTATTTAGAGCTGAGGTTGCAGTCGATTCTGAAGTAAAAGTAGCTGTGGTTGTTGCTGTTTTTTTTTTGCCGTAGTTGTAGTTGTTGCTGAAAAAATTTAGTGCGGATGCAAAAGTTTTTCCGTTGCATGTTGCTCGTGCGTCAAGGGTCGAAACTGATGGAGGGGGGGTTTAGCGGAGTGGGGGTAGCCGTAAGTAAGCATGGTGAGCAAGATCGTGCTCTTTGGCTATCGACCGACAGTAGGGTCGTTTTTTGCACTTCGCTATCACGCGTTGAGACATACGAAAAGTAACCATCTCTTCGGCTCGCGGAGCTTAGTTTATTTTGTTGCCTTTATTTTGTTCGTAGCTCATTGAGCTTTTATTAGCGTGGCACTTATTTATTATTATAAGATAAAATAATTATGTGCTAGTTTAAGTCATTACACCGATTTTGTGAGTTGAAACCTAAATTGCTTTGGGTTTTAGCGTCTTTTCGTCTATTTTAAATTAACCAGTTTAGTTTGTGATTTGTTTGCATTTAATTTATCAACTTTCTTGCACTTTTCGCGAAGCTCGCACGAGACACGCCCGCTCTCTTCAGCTGTCGCAGTCTCTAGTTTGAATAAATGAATAAATAAACAATTTTTGATACAAATTTCAATATTACATAAGATTTAAAGACAACTCGATTTGATAGCAACTATGAGAAAATCAAACTTGTTTTTTATAGCAAAACCGGAAACTTTGAAATTCAATTACAAGAGAAACATGTCCGACCGCCAAGTTCTCTTTGCACGCAAATTCTTAAGAAATCGCGGTCCATCGAGGATAATTTTTTGACATATCTTCTTAACTACTAAAATAAAAGCACGTTGACATTCCAAATAATTTTATTTTAATTTCATACACCAGCAGACTCGACTTTTTTAAATTGCTCCAATTGACTTGCTTTTCGTTTGTCAACAAACCGCGGCTTGATAGTAAGACCATCGGTTGAACTCTGAACACTGTCTCCGATTAGAATTTAAGTTAACCCACAAAATTTGTACATTACTAATGTACCAAAAGAGCTTAATTAGCCAAAATGTATTCATACCCAATAGTGCAAAAGTTCAAGAAAACGGCTCCGTTTTGTCATTTAGCAAACCTTTTTTAACGTTTTCATCTTGTGTAAGGAAAATCGGAACATTTTTGCATAAGAGTAAAAATAAAAACAGACCAAATAGAAGTGCTTCGTGAAACAAATCATTTCAGAGCTTGGTCGATTCCCTGCAGTTCTGGAGTCAGGTCTCGTTAACAACACTGCCGCTGCCAGCAGATAACTCGGCGCAGCCTACGAAAACGGTCGGGCAAAGGACTTTGTCTTAAATTCTAGTAATGGACAGCTCGAACGACCTTGGCAAAATTTTAGCAGGGCAATCCAATACTTTCAAAATAAAAAGGATATAAAGAGGTATACAAATAAAAAATTATTTTTTTTTACGTAAATCACTAGTTACATTGATAAGTTTGTATATGAAGCTGTCATGAGGGGAAAAAGCGGACATCCCGGTCACATATCTATGTGAAGTGTCAAGTATGCGTCACGAGCTCAAGTGACCTGTCACCGGCGATTCACCTTGTAAGTCACGAGTGAAAAGTGATTTCTGTGATGTTATTGTGATTTGAAGCTGTCTCATAAGGTGAAAAAGCGGACATCCCGAACAAGTGTCTATATAAAGTGTCAAGTGACCTGTCACCGCCGATTCACCTGATGAATCACGAGTGAAAAGTGATTTAAACAGTAAGAGTATTCACTTGTGCGTAGGTTTATAAGGGTGACAATAACGCCCTTGCGTAGTTTAATGCAATTATTTTATTTTCGTTATCATGCATCCGGTTTATATGACACAAAGTAAAATAAATCAAATACGAAAACCTAAAATAAAATATCGTCCACTTATGTATGAAAAGGAAACGTGCGCCTATTTCGAGCATCATAAATTCAGAAAACGTAGGTGTAAGCCTATTTATTCTTGTGGAACTCCTCCATGCATAACTTGCAGCTCCACGAGCCCTCTGGGGGAGTGATGAGAGGTGGCGACAAGCAGTACATATGGTAACCTCGGTCACAGTCGTCACAAAATAATAGTTGGTCGTCATTATCAGAGGTCCCACAAATGGAGCAGTACTTGCATTCGATGCATTGCCAACGATAGCGTTTAACAGATATTATCATGTTTGCTGTGAACTGCAGGCACGATGGGTGACCAGAGCGACCACAATCCGAGCACGACACAAGCTCTTCGGGCATATTTGTTTTTTTGTTTTCCCGTTGATCTCCCAGACAAAAGTCGCAATAAGGAGATGGTAGAGCTATTTCCCGTTCAACACGATTTTTTACCTTATTAGCAACAGTTCCCGCGGCAAACGCCGGAGGATTTGTTATTGCTTGCACCGATGGGGCGTTGCAGACATTGGCAGTTTTAGTCAATCCCACGTTTAATCCAGCCATTGTCGCTAAGGGAATTGAGTCATTAGAAGCTCCAGCGTCGCTTGAAATCTTTTCGTACGACGAAGAGGCTGTGCTTGTTAGCATCGCTGACTGCGAATTGTCGTCATTTGTGGGAATAGGAGAAGCTGAATTTGAATGAGATGCGTAGAGGCCTGAGGCAGCAGCTGCAGTGTTAGCTGCGTGTGCAACGGCTGCGGCCGCTGCCGCGGCTGCTGCAGATGTATTTCCACTATTCCCACTGCCCCGACGTCTTCGATCTGTTTCTCCGTCAACGTTTCTCCGCCGAGTGCCTGAAATTGTAATAATATACTTATTTTATCAGCTTAATGAATATAACTTACCACCACCTTTGCGACCACGTTTGGGAGTGCCCTCTACGCTCGCATTAGTTCGTCGAGGACGCGAACATTTTTTGCGTTTCCCTCTGCTGGTGTAGGACTCGTCAAAATCGTTATCTGAATCAAAATCATCCTCATAGTCATCGCCATGATGATAATGTGATGTATCCATTTCATCGTGGAACCATTCTTTCTCGGCGTTTGCATGTGAGTCCTTACTATCATTGTCTCCTGAGGCTCCCATGGAGTTGGCATCCGTTGCAATAATGGCTGTAAATATAAAACATTAGTTAGAGCTTATCTCCCCTAAATCAGACATTGTTGGCCAAAGTCGAGGGAAAGTGTACTTATCTACCGAAGAACTTTACCTAATGGGATTTCCCAATCTTTTAATGCCCTTGTTTTCTTACCTGCGCTCTCAGTAATATGCAAGTCTCGTGTGACAGCAACGCCAGACGAAGGAATAAGATGATGTTGATGCGGTTGGTGGTGGGAGTTCTGAAGATTGTGTTCGCGGTACTGATATGCTCTGTAGCTCTGATTCGGGTTAAGTAAGTACTGACGTTTGGGTTTGCGCCAACGGGACGAGGGATAGGTGTATATCTGACCATTTCGAAAACCCGGCATGCGCTGTTTTTTTTTCATAAAAAGGGAACTGTGAGTTTGTGCGACCCCCGTCTGGGGGTCAAGGAACGGCATGCGAAGGCGGCGTTCAACGCACAAGCGAGTGTTAAAATTCTCGCTGTTTTCAAGTATCTCCTTGTACTTCTCCTTGTCATTTAGAATGTTTTGAATCTTCTCAAAATTTTCAATGTTTACTACCAATGTTTTCTTGTATTCAGATTGGGAAGCCATATTGTTGTTTTAGCGTCGCGACAAGTTATAACATAATTTCTAACGATAATTTTTTTTAGTTTAGAATGTTTGCGTTCAAACAAAATTTATAGTTTTACATAAACGATAATTAATTTTACAAACACTACAATAAGAAGAAAGCAGTCTTACTACATATACAGTAAACTATATATGTACTACCTTATACCCAAATCCCACAGAGCACATCTCTGCGAAACGGGTTGTATGTCAAAATAATAACGGCCGATTAAAACCTTTTCCCACAATCATTTTATTTTCTCTTGGACAAGATCCGGGATCAACACCAAGCGAAGCACTCTGTTTTTAACCCACCACTGACATACATATATTTTTATAGTGTATTTCTTCTTAAAAATAATTTTTCGTTTTTAAGCCTAGTACTTACATCAACCGCGAGCTTATAGTAGGAGTGAGCGAGAGGCAAATACGCGACTAACGCTTTTCTTCGGGTCTGTTTTTCAGCGCAGTACTCAGATGAGCTCAGGAAATTACAGAAAAAATACAAGATTAAGCAAGTGAATTTCGATAAGAAAATTAAGCTTTGGCGGTGGTCGTGCAAAAGCGGTGTGGACCTTAAAAATTAAAAATGGAAGGAAAATTCCAAAAACGCCCAGGAGGTCATTGTAGATGAAAAAGGATCCCTAATCCAAACTGTTTCCCATTACTGTGGGACTCCATCGACAGGGAGCAATACCAGAACATGGCAATACCGCAGAATATTTTTATCCCACTGGAAAGGAACACGCCGAGTGCGACTTCGCTCCCTACATCGACATCCTGCCGGGCGTGTCCTTGCAAGAAAAGTAATTCTGACCAAAAGAATTTGGTTCCGTCGTACTAATAGTAGTATTTTTTTATCTTTTATCTCCAACGAGCTCTCCATTGGGGAACTACTGGACCCCACTTCCACCAGCTACTTGGCAGCTAACGCAGTGATGGAGGACGCGCTGGCTTCGAAAGGGAGGTGGAAAAACCAACCCCGATCTCAATCAAGCTCCCACTTCCTCAAGGTCCAATATCCCTATTGGGATTCGGAGACGGAATTCAGATGGCGCGGGAAAGATGGGGAAGCATCAGTGGGACAAAGAAGCTTTTAACTACTAATTTACATAAATAAAACATTCGGTGAACATTCCATTTATTTTTATTTTAATTTCTATGTGCACCAGCAGAACTTGACAGTAAGACCAGGCAACATTCGTTGCGTGAGTACTTCGGTCACACTACAATGAGTAAAATTATTCGCCAAGTGAAACTCTTAGACGATCTGATTAATAGGCTTTACGTTCCTAGGTTTTTGCACAGTTTTTGTTATCGTTTCGTCATCGAAATGTTATTTTTTCTCCTACAAAAACAGTTTTTTTGGTATATGTTAATACAGTTATAAACTATTAAGCCATAAGCTTTTGTGGTGCAACTCAATGACAAAGTTTTTTTTGGGTCAAGCGATGAATATTGACGAAACCAATATATTGCAGTTATTCTTATTATAGCTAAAAACGGTTTTCGATTCTTGTGTTTTTGCTCCACAAGCTGCTATCGATGTTTTTACAAATATAATTTAACGACTGACGCAGATACCTTAAATTTAGCGTTTTTTCAATCGATACTATCTGGTTAAGGTGGCAACGCATTTATGAATAAAATACTATTCTTAGTTACCGGTAATAAGGCAAAAATGTAAAAGAACTTAGATAGGGCAACGCTGTACCAGCAGGTTAATGCTTACATCGTACTCCTTTTCATTTCGGGCATCGCAAAAGGCGGTTGGTGCCCCAGTTTTGGTTGGTTCATGGGCGCTATACCTTATTCACTTATAGGGAGTTTTCGCTTCAGCGACCATTATCCGCTTCAACGACGTTTTCCTCCATAAGCCTAGTACTCACATCGACGAAAACCGCGAGCTAACCATAGGAGTGAGCGAGAGGCAAACCCTTTTCGTCGGGTCTGTTTTACAGCTTGATACTCAGATGAGCTAAGAAAATACCAGATTAGCGAGCGCCCTTAGTCACAGCCCAAAGAATAAGAAATTTTGTCTTTGGCGGTGTTTGTGCAAAAACGTTGTGGAAAAATAAATTAAAAATGGAAAAAACAACCCAAAAACGCCGGAAGAATGTTAGTGCAGATAAAAATGGACGCCCATTCCAAGCTGTTGCCCATTTTTGTGCGACTTTACCCACAGGAAACAATACTACGACAGGGCAAATCCGCCGAATATTTGAAGTTCTGGAGATTGACTAAAGAATCGCAGTGGGAAGGAACATCCCAAGTGGAACCTTGCTCCCTACATGGACATCCTGGCGGGTGTGTTCTCGCAAAGAAAGTAAGTTCAGGCCAAAAGAATTTGGTTACGTTGTACTAATAGAAGTATCTTTTAAGCAGAACCACCAGCACAATCTCTTACGAACTCTACATTGGGGAGTCACAGGACTCCACCTTCACCAGCTACTTGGCAGCTTAAGCGGAGATGGAGAACACGCTGGCTTCTAAACGGTGTAGGGAAAAGGGACGCCCTCAAGGGACAGTTGGAGGAGCCATTACCAGCCATTGACAGTATGCTGGATGCTGGACTTCCTGCAGCATCAGCGTAACAACACCGTTCCCTATCTGGCTCCCACTTCTTCAAGGTCCCATATTCCTATTGGGATTCGGACATTTGCAGCAGACGGCGCGGGGAAGTTGGCGAAGAATCCGTGGGGCGAGAAGGAAGTTTTAAACTACTAATTTGCATAAATAAAAACATTTGTTGAACATTCCATTTATTTTTAATTGAATTTCTGTGTGCACCAGCAGAATCTTCTTAAATTTTTTTTCAGTTTGTCAACAAACTCAGCTCCTTGACTGTAAGACGATGGTACATTCATTGCGGGTGAATTTAGAAAACTTCGGCCACACTACAAAGAATACGATTCTTCGACTAGTGAAACTCTTAGCAGATCTGAGTACTAGGCTATAAGAAATGCACGTGTAGAAAAAAACAGGGAAAAGTAGATTAAACTTACTGCAGCGAAAAGTTGGACCGCTCACCCAAATCGTTTCTATATTCCAATGTATTATTCAGTATATATATACACGAGAGTAGCAATTCACACAAAATTTATAGTTTAACATAAACGATAAGTAATTTTACAAACGATACAATAAGAAGAGAGCAGTCTTACTACATATACCGTAAACTATATATGTACTACCTTATACCCAAATCCCACAGAGCACATCTCTGCGAAACGGGTTGTATGTCAAAATAATGACGGCCGATTAAAACCTTTTCCCACAATCATTTTATTTTCTCTTTGACAAGATCCGAGATCAACCCCAAGCGAAACACTCTGTTTTTAATCCACCACTGGCATACATATATTTTTATAGTGTATTTCGTCTTTATAATTTAATATAATAATAATAATAAATAATTTTTCGTTTTTAAGCTAAGTATTTAGCGACTAACGTTTTTCTTCGGGTCTGTTTTTCAGCGCAGTACTCATATGAGCTCAGGAAATTACAGAAAAAATACAAGATTTAGCAAGTGAATTTCGATAAGAAAATTACACTTTGGCGGTGTGGACTTTAAAAATTTAAAATGGAAGGAAAATTCCTAAAACGACCAAGGGGTCATTGTAGATGAAAAAGGACGCCTAATAGGGTCTTCCCACAGAGATCCAACCACCATCTACCATCCGTTGAACGGATGGCCCATAAGGTTTTGCCGTTCCGAAAATTTCCCAGATAGCCCAGACCTTAATGGAAGCTGGGTTTGATGTGTCCTACAAGGACGTCCGGACAAAAATAGAGAACCTGACCAAAAAGTACAGGTAACTTATATGAGCGCAACAACATAATGGAAATCCACTCAACAATATTATTCCTTGCAGGCAGGAAAAAAATAAAATGGGGCCAAGCTGTGGCGCTCCTTCCGCGTGGCAGCATTATGAGTTGGTCCACTCGTTTCTAGGCGCATACCGCATCCACAATATGGAGCAGAACACCTTGGAGAACGGGAGTATGTCCCCACACTTATATTTTTGGTTTAAAATGATCTTAAAAACTTATTTATTGCATATACTAGAAAAAACTTTGTGGAGCTCTTGGATGTAGGTCCAGATGAAAGGGAAGCCTTTACCTGCAGCGGCAGTCAACGCTCAGGCAGCACTGCGCCCCCTGCTAAGCGAGCTAAGGTGAACCACAAGTCGGAGCTTGTGGAGATAGCTCGAGAAAGACTGGAGGAGCAGAGAGCGCAGTTAGAAATATTGTCGAGAATGGCAGACAGCCAAGCAAAATTCCAATCGGATTTGTTGGAGCTTTTAAGAATATCAACGAATTCCTAATAAATTTATAATTTATAATAAATAGACCAAATGAAATGTGATATTATAATTAAATAAAAAACAAACAGATTTATATTTTATGAACTTTATTTGTTACCATTTAGACAACATTGGGAAATAGCTGCTCTTATTTTTTCTGCAGGTTGGCTGAAATCTGCAGACTTATTAGTCCGATTTGGTTGTTCGCGTAGGTCATTTGCAGCCAAGTTTCATTTATAGCGCTGTTGTGCTCATTTGAAATGTTGTGCAAAATGCAGCAAGCCAGAACGACTGAAGAATCGGAGAAGACACCATATTCCTTGCCAGGCTCGACTTTTGAAATATAGTGGAGTCGTTGTAGCGCCCAGCAGAGCCGATGTTTACATTGGTAAATCTGTATCTGTAGTAAATTTAAAATACAGTGCGTTTAGAACATTGTTGAGCTCTTAGAAGAAGGCAGTTTACCTGTAATCTACGAGAGCGAATAGTACTATTGAGTACCAGCCTTTGTAGTTGTGGTGATCGACTGCTTCTGCTGCTGACGGTTTTATTTCGATGTGACAACCACTGCACATTGTACATTGCTAAGACCATAAACTGATTTAATGAATTTATATCTTACCAATTGCACCTAGACACTGGGGAAATCCAATTGCTTCGAATCCTTTGATACACTTGTCCACTTTTTCTGGAGTAATATAGTCCGGTGACATGAACTCGCTGGCAAACTCAAACATAAGTGCCAAGCAAAATTCGTGGAGAATTTTGCACACAGTGTTCTGTGCAACTCCAAAAAGTCTCCGATGGAACGATATTCCGCTGATGATCCCAAGGTGTACAAGGCTATAGCGATCCGCTTTTCAAAAGGAATGGCATTTCGCCAGTTGGTGTCCTTCTTCCGCAAAACACCAAGTCGGTCCACCAAAAACGAAAAGGTACTCTTCTCCATACGAAAGCACTCTTTGAAGAACTCGTCGTTGTTTTTCGGTATATCCTTCTCCCAAAATGACCCGTATCGCTCTTGTTTAATATAAATCGCGTTCTTCTTTCCCACGCCCACTCTAACGCCCATAACGCTTAAATCTGTATTCCGTCGGTAGGTGGCGCATTTTAATCTCGCTTTGCTGCTTGCTTATCTCTATTTAACTGAGTAACGGGTATCTGATAGTCGATGTACTCGACTATAGCGTTCTTCCTTGTTTTTATTTTATTTTCTATGTGCACCAGCAGAATTTTATATTTTACAGCCTCTTGACAGTAAGACCATGCAACATTCGTTGCGTGAGTACTTCGGTCACACTACAATGAGTAAAATTATTCGCCAAGTGAAACTCTTAACCGATCTGAGTACTAGGCTTTACGTTCCTAGGTTTTTTTTTGTTTTTTCCATTTCTTCCTACAAAAACAGTTTTTTTTTGGTATATGTTAATACATTTATAAACTATTAAACCATTACCTTTTGTGGTGCAACTCAATGACAAAGTTTTTTTTTGGTCAAGCGATGAATATTGACGAAACCAATATATTGCAGTTATCCTTATTATAACTAAAATTACAGAAAAAATACAAGATTAAGCAAGTGAATTTCGATAAGAAAATTAAGCTTTGGCGGTGGTCGTGCAAAAGCGGTGTGGACCTTAAAAATTAAAAATGGAAGGAAAATTCCAAAAACGCCCAGGAGGTCATTGTAGATGAAAAAGGATCCCTAATCCAAACTGTTTCCCATTACTGTGGGACTCCATCGACAGGGAGCAATACCAGAACATGGCAATACCGCAGAATATTTTTATCCCACTGGAAAGGAACACGCCGAGTGCGACTTCGCTCCCTACATCGACATCCTGCCGGGCGTGTCCTTGCAAGAAAAGTAATTCTGACCAAAAGAATTTGGTTCCGTCGTACTAATAGTAGTATTTTTTTTATCTTTTATCTCCAACGAGCTCTCCATTGGGGAACTACTGGACCCCACTTCCACCAGCTACTTTGCAGCTAACGCAGTGATGGAGGACGCGCTGGCTTCGAAAGGGAGGTGGAAAAACCAACCCCGATCTCAATCAAGCTCCCACTTCCTCAAGGTCCAATATCCCTATTGGGATTCGGAGACGGAATTCAGATGGCGCGGGAAAGATGGGGAAGCATCAGTGGGACAAAGAAGCTTTTAACTACTAATTTACATAAATAAAACATTCGGTGAACATTCCATTTATTTTTATTTTAATTTCTATGTGCACCAGCAGAACTTGACAGTAAGACCAGGCAACATTCGTTGCGTGAGTACTTCGGTCACACTACAATGAGTAAAATTATTCGCCAAGTGAAACTCTTAGACGATCTGATTAATAGGCTTTACGTTCCTAGGTTTTTGCACAGTTTTTGTTATCGTTTCGTCATCGAAATGTTATTTTTTCTCCTACAAAAACAGTTTTTTTGGTATATGTTAATACAGTTATAAACTATTAAGCCATAAGCTTTTGTGGTGCAACTCAATGACAAAGTTTTTTTTGGGTCAAGCGATGAATATTGACGAAACCAATATATTGCAGTTATTCTTATTATAGCTAAAAACGGTTTTCGATTCTTGTGTTTTTGCTCCACAAGCTGCTATCGATGTTTTTACAAATATAATTTAACGACTGACGCAGATACCTTAAATTTAGCGTTTTTTCAATCGATACTATCTGGTTAAGGTGGCAACGCATTTATGAATAAAATACTATTCTTAGTTACCGGTAATAAGGCAAAAATGTAAAAGAACTTAGATAGGGCAACGCTGTACCAGCAGGTTAATGCTTACATCGTACTCCTTTTCATTTCGGGCATCGCAAAAGGCGGTTGGTGCCCCAGTTTTGGTTGGTTCATGGGCGCTATACCTTATTCACTTATAGGGAGTTTTCGCTTCAGCGACCATTATCCGCTTCAACGACGTTTTCCTCCATAAGCCTAGTACTCACATCGACGAAAACCGCGAGCTAACCATAGGAGTGAGCGAGAGGCAAACCCTTTTCGTCGGGTCTGTTTTACAGCTTGATACTCAGATGAGCTAAGAAAATACCAGATTAGCGAGCGCCCTTAGTCACAGCCCAAAGAATAAGAAATTTTGTCTTTGGCGGTGTTTGTGCAAAAACGTTGTGGAAAAATAAATTAAAAATGGAAAAAACAACCCAAAAACGCCGGAAGAATGTTAGTGCAGATAAAAATGGACGCCCATTCCAAGCTGTTGCCCATTTTTGTGCGACTTTACCCACAGGAAACAATACTACGACAGGGCAAATCCGCCGAATATTTGAAGTTCTGGAGATTGACTAAAGAATCGCAGTGGGAAGGAACATCCCAAGTGGAACCTTGCTCCCTACATGGACATCCTGGCGGGTGTGTTCTCGCAAAGAAAGTAAGTTCAGGCCAAAAGAATTTGGTTACGTTGTACTAATAGAAGTATCTTTTAAGCAGAACCACCAGCACAATCTCTTACGAACTCTACATTGGGGAGTCACAGGACTCCACCTTCACCAGCTACTTGGCAGCTTAAGCGGAGATGGAGAACACGCTGGCTTCTAAACGGTGTAGGGAAAAGGGACGCCCTCAAGGGACAGTTGGAGGAGCCATTACCAGCCATTGACAGTATGCTGGATGCTGGACTTCCTGCAGCATCAGCGTAACAACACCGTTCCCTATCTGGCTCCCACTTCTTCAAGGTCCCATATTCCTATTGGGATTCGGACATTTGCAGCAGACGGCGCGGGGAAGTTGGCGAAGAATCCGTGGGGCGAGAAGGAAGTTTTAAACTACTAGTTTGCATAAATAAAAACATTTGTTGAACATTCCATTTAATTTTAATTGAATTTCTGTGTGCACCAGCAGAATCTTCTTAAATTTTTTTTCAGTTTGTCAACAAACTCAGCTCCTTGACTGTAAGACGATGGTACATTCATTGCGGGTGAATTTAGAAAACTTCGGCCACACTACAAAGAATACGATTCTTCGACTAGTGAAACTCTTAGCAGATCTGAGTACTAGGCTATAAGAAATGCACGTGTAGAAAAAAACAGGGAAAAGTAGATTAAACTTACTGCAGCGAAAAGTTGGACCGCTCACCCAAATCGTTTCTATATTCCAATGTATTATTCAGTATATATTTACGAGAGTAGCAATTCACACAAAATTTATAGTTTAACATAAACGATAAGTAATTTTACAAACGATACAATAAGAAGAGAGCAGTCTTACTACATATACCGTAAACTATATATGTACTACCTTATACCCAAATCCCACAGAGCACATCTCTGCGAAACGGGTTGTATGTCAAAATAATGACGGCCGATTAAAACCTTTTCCCACAATCATTTTATTTTCTCTTTGACAAGATCCGGGATCAACCCCAAGCGAAACACTCTGTTTTTAATCCACCACTGGCATACATATATTTTTGTAGTGTATTTCGTCTTTATAATTTAATATAATAATAATAATAAATAATTTTTCGTTTTTAAGCTAAGTATTTAGCGACTAACGTTTTTCTTCGGGTCTGTTTTTCAGCGCAGTACTCATATGAGCTCAGGAAATTACAGAAAAAATACAAGATTTAGCAAGTGAATTTCGATAAGAAAATTACACTTTGGCGGTGTTCGTGCAAAAGCGGTGTGGACTTTAAAAATTTAAAATGGAAGGAAAATTCCAAAAACGACCAAGGGGTCATTGTAGATGAAAAAGGACGCCTAATAGGGTCTTCCCACAGAGATCCAAGCACCATCTACCATCCGTTGAACGGATGGCCCATAAGGTTTTGCCGTTCCGAAAATTTCCCAGATAGCCCAGACCTTAATGGAAGCTGGGTTTGATGTGTCCTACAAGGACGTCCGGACAAAAATAGAGAACCTGACCAAAAAGTACAGGTAACTTATATGAGCGCAACAACATAATGGAAATCCACTCAACAATATTATTCCTTGCAGGCAGGAAAAAAATAAAATGGGGCCAAGCTGTGGCGCTCCTTCCGCGTGGCAGCATTATGAGTTGGTCCACTCGTTTCTAGGCGCATACCGCATCCACAATATGGAGCAGAACACCTTGGAGAACGGGAGTATGTCCTCACACTTATATTTTTGGTTTAAAATGATCTTAAAAATTTATTTATTGCATATACTAGAAAAAACTTTGTGGAGCTCTTGGATGTAGGTCCAGATGAAAGGGAAGCCTTTACCTGCAGCGGCAGTCAACGCTCAGGCAGCACTGCGCCCCCTGCTAAGCGCGCTAAGGTGAACCACAAGTCGGAGCTTGTGGAGATAGCTCGAGAAAGACTGGAGGAGCAGAGAGCGCAGTTAGAAATATTGTCGAGAATGGCAGACAGCCAAGCAAAATTCCAATCGGATTTGTTGGAGCTTTTAAGAATATCAACGAATTCCTAATAAATTTATAATTTATAATAAATAGACCAAATGAAATGTGATATTATAATTAAATAAAAAACAAACAGATTTATATTTTATGAACTTTATTTTTTACCATTTAGACAATATTGGGAAATAGCTGCTCTTATTTTTTCTGCAGGTTGGCTGAAATCTGCAGACTTATTAGTCCGATTTGGTTGTTCGCGTAGGTCATTTGCAGCCAAGTTTCATTTATAGCGCTGTTGTGCTCATTTGAAATGTTGTGCAAAATGCAGCAAGCTAGAATGACTGAAGAATCGGAGAAGACACCATATTCCTTGCCAGGCTCGACTTTTGAAATGTAGTGGAGTCGTTGTAGCGCCCAGCAGAGCCGATGTTTACATAGGTAAATCTGTATCTGTAGTAAATTTAAAATACAATGCGTTTAGAACATTGTTGAGCTCTTAGAAGAAGGCAGTTTACCTGTAATCTACGAGAGCGAATAGTACTATTGAGTACCAGCCTTTGTAGTTGTGGTGATCGACTGCTTCTGCTGCTGACGGTTATATTTCGATGTGACAACCACTGCACATTGTACATTGCTAAGACCATAAACTGATTTAATGAATTTATATCTTACCAATTGCACCTAGACACTGGGGAAATCCAATTGCTTCAAATCCTTTGACACACTTGTCCACTTTTTCTGGAGTAAGATACATGAACTCGCTGGCAAACTCAAACATAAGTGCCAAGCAAAATTCGTGGAAAATTTTGCACACAGTGTTCTGTGCAACTCCAAAAAGTCTCCGATGGAACGATATTCCGCTGATGATCCCAAGGTGTACAAGGCTATAGCGATCCGCTTTTCAAAAGGAATGGCATTTCGCCAGTTGGTGTCCTTCTTCCGCAAAACACCAAGTCGGTCCACCAAAAACGAAAAGGTACTCTTCTCCATACGAAAGCACTCTTTGAAGAACTCGTCGTTGTTTTCCGGTATATCCTTCTCCCAAAATGTCCCGTATCGCTCTTGTTTAATATAATTCGCGTTCTTCTGAATTGGCTGCCAATAAAAGCTGATTAAACTTCAGATTTTGCTGTTGTACAACAGCCAAAATAGTTGGTAAATTGTCCATTTTGGTCTGGCAAATCAACTTTAACAATTTTTGCTTGTGTTTTTATTAGCCACAGCTGATCTGACAGCTGTTATCGGATGGTAGATGGTGGATGTGCCTTGTGGGAATCGGAGTTTCACATTTGTCAAAAATCCCAACAGTTTCTAACCGATGGACTGTATGGGAAGGGTGTATAATCCAAACTGTTGCCCATTACTGTGGGACTCCATCGACAGGAAGCAATACCAGAACAGGGCAAATCCGCAGAATATTTTAATCCCACTGGGAAGGAACACGCCGAGTGCGACTTCGCTCCCAACATCGACATCCTGCCGGGCGTGTCCTTGCAAGAAAAGTAATTCTGACCAAAAGAATTTGGTTCCGTCGTACTAAGAAAGATCTCCAACGAGCTCTCCATTGGGGAACCACTGGACCCCACTTCCACCAGCTTCTTGGGAGCTAACGCAGTGATGGAGGACGCGCTGGCTTCGAAAGGGAGGTGAAAACACCAACCCCGATCTCAATGAAGCTCCCACTTCCTCAAGGTCCAATATCCCTGTTGGGACTCGGAGACGGAATTCAGATGGCGCGGGAAAGATGTGGAAGCATCAGTGGGACAAAGAAGCTTTTAACTACTAATTTACATAAATAAAACATTCGGTAAACATTCAATTTATTTTTATTTCAATTTCTATGTGCACCAGCAGAATTTTCTATTTTACAGCCACTTGACAGTAAGACCAGGCAACATTCGTTGTGTGAGTACTTCGGTCACACTACAATGAGTAAAATTATTCGCCAAGTAAAAATCTTAGCCGATCTGAGTACTAGGCTTCACGTTCCTAGGTTTTTGCACAGTTTTTGTTATCGTTTCGTCATCGAAATGTTTTTTTCCATTTCCTCCTACAAAAACAGTTTTTTTGGTATATGTTAATACAATCCTTATTTGGATTCGGAGACGAAATTCAGATGGCGCGGAAAAGATGGGGAAGCATCAGTGGGACAAAGAAGCTTTTAACTACTAATTTACATAAATAAAGCATTCGGTAAACATTCCATTTATTTTAATTTTAATTTTTATGTGCACCAGCAGAATGTTATATTTTACAGCCACTTGACAGTAAGACCAGGCAACATTCGTTGCGTGAGTACTTCGGTCACAATACAATGAGTAAAATTATTCGCCATGTGAAACTCTTAGCCGATCTGGGTACTAGGCTTTACGTTCCTAGGTTTTTGCACAGTTTTTGTTATCGTTTCGTCATCGAAATGTTTTTTTTCCATTTCTTCCTACAAAAAGAGTTTATTTTGGTATATGTCAATACATTTATGAACTACTAAACCATAAGCTTTTGTGGTGCAACTCAATGACAAAGTTTTTTTTGGGTCAACCGATGAATATTGACGAAACCAATATATTGCAGTTATACTTATTATAGATAAAAACGGTTTTCGATTCTTGTGTTTTTGCTCCACAAGGTGCTATCGATGTTTTTACATATATAATTTAACGACTGACGCAGAAACTTTAAATTTAGCGTTTTTTCAATCGATACTATCTGGTTCAGAAGGTCAGAGCAGATGAATTAAAACGCCAAATCGAAGCTTATGCCCTTAATTGCGGGATTTCACCGACAGGAAGCAATTCCACAAAAGGGGCAAATTCGCAGAATAGTTGAAGTGCTGGAGGAGATCCACTAGAGAATCCCAGTGGGAAGGAACATGCCGAGTGAGACTTTGATCTCTACAAGGACATCCTGCCGGGCGCGTCCTCGCAAAGAAAGTAAGATCTGGCCAAAAGAATTTGGTCGCGTTGTACTAATAGAAGTAGCTTTTTAGCAGAACCACCAGTAATACGATCTCCGACGACATCTCCATTAGGACTCCGGACACCACCAGCTACTTGGCAGCTTAAGCGGAGCTGGAGGACCCGCTGTCTTCTATAGGGACGAGGAAAATAGGGCGCCCGCTAAGGAGCAGTTGGAGAAGCCATAGCCAGCCACTGCCAGGATGCTGGACGACTTCCTGCAGCATCGACGGATCAACGCCGTTCCCAATCCGGCTCCCACTTGTTCAAGGTCCAATATGCCTATTGAGACTCGAAGTTGGACTGTGGTGGAGCGGGATAGATGGCGAAGCATCCGTGGGACGAGAAGGAAGCTTTAAACTTCTTATTTACATAAATAAAAACATTCGTTGAACATTCCATTTATTTTTATTTTAATTTCTTTGTGTACCAGCAGACTCCTCCTTTTTAAATTTAAATTTCCAACTCAACTGCTTGACAGTAAGACCATGCTACATGCATTGCGGGTGAACTTTGAAAACTTCGGTCACACTACAAAGAATAAGATTTTTCGACTAGTGAAACTCTTAGCCGATCTGAGTACTAGGCTATATGTAGTAAGACTGCTATATTGTATCGTTTGTAAAATTAATTATCGTTTATGTTAAACTATAAATTTTGTGTGAATTGCAGTTCAAATGCAATTCCTTCTAAAAAAAAACTTTAAATAAAAACTTTAAAAGACTTTAAATTGGAGCCTTCTCCATGCAGGTTCTTGTTAGGCGCTTGCTTGTTGTTGCTCCACATTGAGTTCTGGCTGATGCAACGAGTGTTCGTTGCCTTTGTTCCTCATAATAATTAACCTTTTAGCAGTCCTCAATTGTACACAACGTTATAGCTTAGGACAAAAAGAAAAAGGGAGCGACCAGACCTAGCAAAGCAACGAAGCCACACAAAAACTCAGTTCGCAAACTGAGTCCCCATCATACCAGAACTGGTATGTACCAGTTTTACCCATGGTTACACCTTAAAGTATCATGCCTAACGATAGACTGAATTACCTCCTCTCTGACACGGCCATCCTGACATATACACGTCCTCTTGTCTATAATAAAGATCTGAATTTCATTCCAATTTATAATTTTTATTGAATGATTCCGAAGAACTAAGCCTTATAATCTCAAATCCATATAATGTTCATTAACATTACTTAACTTCTATTTATAACATGTAGGCTATTTTAACTTATCTCTGTTATATTCTCTTATAACCCTTTTTTATTTTCATTTACATTTCCAAACAAGAGATCAATAAAACATTTTCAAATTATACATTAATCAGTTCAAATCGTTAATTCGTAAACCAAAATACATAATAGACTTTTACTAACCAGCTTTTAAATTCTTCGCCACACATTGGCTTAACACATTTTCAAACAAATTAAATTGTCCATCGCCCAAAAACATGGCTTCACAAATTCATCAACCACATTACTCGTCCATCGCCCATAACTTGGCTTCACTAATTCATCAAATACATTACTCGTCCATTGCCCAACACTTGGCTTCACGAATTCATCAAACACATTTGTAAAGCAACTCTCGTCTATCGCCAATCACATGGCTTCACAAACACTCTCTTTTTCAACAGGCTTTTCCAACTGACTTTGTTCTTTGTAATTTACTTCTGGAATTTGTACTTCCGGTAACTTTCGCAAACTTCCGTGTGGGTACTTGTATCGCCAATTGTTCTGTTTAGACTTTAAAACGTATCGGTCTGCGTCCAATACCTCGACCACCAAAAAGGGTTCTCTGAACTTTCAATCTAATTTCGATTGCTGTCTATCGCTGTTTTTAAGCAACACAAAGTCACCCCCACAGAACCTTGTTACTTTAGCCTTATTTTTATCAAATTTGGTCTTCTTATATCTAGCGGCCTCCTCCATGTTTTTAGCGGTCAACTCCCTCGATTTGATCTTGTCAATTTCATCTTCGGTATCATTAATAGGTAGGCCCAACTTTACCAATCAAAAGTTCTAAAGGACTGCACTTAGTGCTACGATTAACTGAACAGTTAAGAGCTAACTGTACATCCCCCAGTGCATCCTGCCACGATCTAGAGCTTGTCTCAACAGCCGTCAACAGATTCTTCAGTGTACTCATACTCATGACCCTTTCAACTTTACCGTTGGCTCGACTTGCGCCCTTTCAATTAGATGTAATTGTAATTTTTGGCTGGAACAAAATTGCACAAACTTTATGCCCGTGAAGCTGCGCCCCTGATCGGCAATTAAACGTGTTGGCACGCCAAAAATGGCAATCGAAGATATAATTGCGTTTATACAGGTATTAGCATCCAAGGAAAAGGTGTGAAATAGATAAACGTATTTTGTAAATGCGTCGATTTGTACAATAATATATTCTTTACGATCACTTTTTCCGCTCAATTTTCCCGATATACGAGTATCTATGTGAACAGTGTGCCAAGGAATGCTTATTTTTGGAATTGGGTGTTTTCCTGACGTACTTTTAGAAACTCTTCATGTAATGTAGTTCTCCACAACTCTTCGAACATATTTTGCAATACTCGAAAACCAGTAATGATCGTACACTTCATACAGTGTTTTCTCCCAACCTAGATGCATGATAGACTCATGTACCTGATTTATAACTGATAGATAAAAAGTCCACGTGTGCCATACGTTTACCTTCTCTGTATTCAATTTTGAAATCAAATGTTTGTAGAAACTCCCACCAACGATAAATCCTAGGTGACAACTCGACTTTATTTCGAGAGGATTTGATTGAATTACAGTCAGTAAAAATCACGAATTTTCTCCCATGCACATAGTGACGGAAATGTTTTACGGCATTCACGACAGCCAACGTTTCTAATTCATATGATGTATATCTGGACTTAGCTTGTTTGTTAATACTCTAATGATTTTACTGCGAATTTGTTCATGTTGTGTTTGCCAATCAAAACTATTCTTTTTAGATGTGCGAAAATATAAAGGCTTCATCAGTTGAGAAAACCGCGGAATGAATTGACGAAAATATGACGCTAACCCAATGAATTGTCTTAGAGAAGCAACTGACTTCGGAGGAGGCAACGCCACTAGTTAT